AGATGGGGGGGAGGGCTCTTGCGGCCACCAGCCCTGCATGGGAAAGCAAGGGAGAAATTTCCAGGTTTTCAGTGTTATTCCTGTGCTTAAAAATTAAAAAAAAAAAAAAAAAAAAAAAATCTCAAAGAAAAGCTCTTCCACCAGACCCAGCTTCTTGTCCCTGCTCTCGGTGACCTTTGCTCACCGCCGTGGGGATGCTCATCCATCTCCTGGTGCTGCCCACGTGGGCTGCCCTGACCTTGGAATCGGTGTTAATCTGCCCACAGCCCCTAGGGAAGCTGTGCCCTTGATGGAAGAGGCTACTCTAATCTTACTCCTCAGTTTTAGCTGTCACGGAGGTGTAAGAGGGTAGTTTATTAACAAGGTCAGTTAATTAACCCAGCTGGTACTGTAACCACGGGGCTGGGTCAGTCTCCTGCTGAGAACGCTTGGTGCACCTCTTGGGGTGATGGGATGGTTAATTCTCTTGCAAATTAAGCAAAAAACCGGCTAAACTTGTAAAATCCCCACTCTATCAGCATCGCTATCTCGCTTCTAAAGCACACCCTCTTGGTGTGCGTGGAAATGAGTTGCTGGGAGGTGTTGAGGGGGTCCTGGGGAAATGCTGGAGGCTCCTGATGCGTTGACTCCCTGGGACTTGGCACAGCTAGCAGCCCTTTTCCCAGTTTTCTGCTGTTGTGTGTACACACATCGCCGGCGTTCCGCAAGCCTGGCCCCGGCCCGGGCTGTTTGTGGCCTGAGAACTGGGACAGGGTGGCTTAATTGGCGCTTGCTCTCAAGCAGTGCCAATTAAAAGGGCTCAGGCTCTGTCTGAGAGGATTCCTTCCTTCCTTCCTTGCCTTCCTTCCCCTCCTGGTGGCTGTAAACACGAGGGGAGAGGCTGGAGGGCCGGGCTGTGCATGGGATCGGCTGCCCAGGGAGGCTCCGTGAGCTCCATCCCTGGTGGTTTCTCGGGTGCTGTTGGATAAACAGCAGGGTGGTGGTGGGATCCTGAAGGTCCCTCTGATCTGCAGGAGCTTGCCCCCATGGCCATGCTGACTTCCAAACCTCACCGAAGAGCATCTGTCACCTCCCCTTCCCCAGCTGTTGGCTCTGCTCTGGGGAAGGTCCCTCCTATTTGCAGGTTCATAGGATCCCAAAATGGTTTGGGTTGGAGGGGACCTTAAAGTCCATCTCATTTCACCCCCTGGCATGGGCAGGGACACCTTCCACTAGATCAGGTTGCTCCAAGCCCTCTCCAACATCCCAACTCTGTCCTTCCAGTGCCTCCTAGAGCTACTCTTGACGATTTTCTATCTGTTTGCTTCTGCAAGAGTTGCTTCTGGCACGGCACATGGCCTGGCAGCAAAACCTTCTGGGAGGCTCAGCTTGAAACTCCTTGTCTTTGGGTCCTCGGCGTGAGGCTCCCAAAGGTGGGATTGTCCTGTAAAGCCAGGATTTGTGGATAACAGCTCAGGATAGTGCCCGCTTTCCACAAAAGCGTGTTATCGGTGTGACTCCGGTGCTTTGGAGCTGCAGGCACTTGGCGAAGTGGGGTTGTGGAGATTTGACGGATTTTTGGGGTCTCTGCTCTGGCTGCTCAGCCCAGGTTGCTGATCTCTGGATCTGGGAAGAGCAGGGTTTGCCAGCACTGGGGGTGCTCCGGCTCACCTTGCGCCGGGCTCGGCGTGCGCTCCTGATCGTCATTTTAATTAGCAATATATTCTTGGGGGAGAACAAAGGTTCTGTCTGGCTGGAGCAGATGGCAGCGGGGGGAAGAGGTGGCTGCTGCTGCTGCTACTGCCTCGTTCTTGGTGGGGGGAGAGGCCACGGCGAGCAAACGGCACAGGCTGCAGATGCGCTGAAAGCCCACGGCCATCTGCTCCTCGGCCCGGCCGAGCACGCGCCTCCCAAAGAATAACGCGCATTCCTGGGATCCCCGGCGGCTGCCGGGTGTGACCCGTGGCCAGCTGTAGCGCTGCTGGGGCTGTGTGGGGGGAACAATGACATCGGGATGTTCCCGGCCCCTCTTTGTGCTCCCGCCGGCGGTGGCCGAGCCCGAGCCCCCCCCCACCCCCCCCGGCACACAAAGGGACCCCCCTCGGCACGGGCAGGGAGGTCACACGAGCGCCCCGGGGTCGCTGTCGGGGTGGGAGGGGGATGCCAACCCACAACCACCCCCCCCCCCCCCCCGCTGTGTTGCAGCTTTGTCGGGTTGTTGGTGCTGCTGTGGTTCCGTGGAATCCCGGGATGGTTCGGGTGGGAAGGGGGCTTAAAGGCCATCTCGTTCCCACCCCCTGCCGTGGGCAGGGACACCTTCCACTAGCCCAGGTTGCTCCGAGCCATGTCTTGTTACGTCCATAAACACTTCCAGGGATGGAAGTGCCACGGCTCCCCTGGTTTGGGGCGTCTTGGTTTTGAGGCGTCCTTGACGTGAGAGGGTCTGGTGCTATGAAATATATATATATAAATATGTGCTATGAAATATATATAAATATGTTGCTTATGCAGAAAGGCTTGGACACAGTGGTGATGCCTTCTGAGCATCACTGCCAGATTCCCCTCAGTTTCCCCCACCACCACAAGGACAAGGATGAGTGGCTGTAGGGTGGCACTCAGAGACCCTCTCTCCACACACGGTGTTGGCTGTTGCACGTGTGCAAGCACTTCAGGGCTGGGATGGTGTTAGCTCCTGTGATTTTTAGGCTGTTTTCTATCTCTGCAGATGGTAATTACATAAAATCGTGGAATGGCTTGGGTTGGAAGGGCCCTTAAAGCTCATCCAGTTCTAACTCCTTGCTGTGGGAAGGGGCACCTCCCACTATCCCAGGTTGCTCCAAACCCCATCCAGCATGGCCTGGAACACTTCCAGGGATGGGATTTGACGGCACCTGCTGCCTCAGCTCCTGCTTTTTGTCTCTGGTGGGACACTGTGATGCTGTGGCAGCCAAGGGCCCTTGCCTGGTCCGGCAGCCGAAACGGGAACGAGCGGCAGAGCTAAAAAAAGTCCAGTGACCTAATCCAGTTTCCATGGAAACGTTGTAGATTAATGGCTTTTAGCTGTAATCTGAACGAGACGTATTGAACTTTTCTGCGATGATTTAGAGCCTCTTTATGTCCCGGGTGACTTTGCCTCCAAATCCATCGGTCACGTGCAGGCAGGAGCATCCACTTGTAGCGCCGGGGAAGCAACATCTGCCGAGGCCGCTGTGGTGTGGGAGTAAATACCCTGGGCTGGTACGAGGGATGGAACAACGTGTAGTACATGAGGGAATCGTCTTAAATCCTATGCTTCTGCCGTGCTGCCGGTGCTGCCTGAGCTGATGGGACGTGTCCAGAGGGAACGGGATCGCTCAGAGTGGGTTTTTTTTTTTTCTTGTTTCAAACTTGTTGGCAGCACAGGTCTGTCTCCTGACCTAGAGCTGCAGATAGCATGGTGCAATTTTGGAGTGGGCTTGGCTTTACATGGGAAAAACCAGAGTGCTGGAAGGAGGGGATAACCCAGCTAGCAGCTCTGTG